TTGCTGTTGGAGACCTCTCGTATCACCCCCAACTGGGTCCCTGTGGCTGACTGTACCTCTGTCTGGCTTCCTGGCTTTAACCCCTTTCTCCTGCTCTTCTGCCCTGCTGTTTTGTGCGTCACTGAGTTGTCCCTGGGGCTGATTGCTCCTCTGTTCGGGTTCCTGGCTTTTTATCCCCTTCCTCCTGCTCTTCCAGCCTGCTACTCTGGGCGGGCCTGAGTTGCCTCTCCTCACCTAATCCCTTCGACTGACTGCTCTTCTCTCTGGCTTCCTGGCTTTTAATCCCCTTTCTCCTGCTCTTCCCGCTTGCCACTTCAGGTGTCCCTGAGTTGTCTCTCCTCATCTGTAAGCCTGGGGCTGACTGCTCTTCTGTCCCGGTTCCTGGCTTTTTATCCCCTTCCTCCTGCTCTTCCGGTCTCACCTACAATCAAAGTAGGTGAGATGAAATCTGGCCATTCTTGCTTCCAATGAACATTCCGGCTGCACTCCTTCCAGGACAGATTTGTTCATTCTTCTGGCAGTCTATGATCCTTTCAGCATTCTTTGCCAACACCACAACTCAAAAGCATCAACTCTTGTTCAGTCTTCCTTATTCATTGTCTAGCTTTCACATGCATATGGGGCGATTTAAAATCCCATGGCTTGGGTTAGGTGCACCTGAGTCTTCAAAGAGACATCTTTGCTCTTCAGCATTTTAAAGAGGTCTTTTGCAGCCGATTTGCCCATTGCAATACAACATCTGATTTCTTGATTGCTGCTTCCATTGGTGTTGATTGTGGAACTAAGTAATATGAAATCTTTGACAACTTCAATCTTTTTCCATTAATTGTGATGCTGGTTATTTATTCAGTTGTGAGGATCCAGTTGTGAGAAGATATATAGTTTTACTTAAAGTTCTCTATTAATTTTGAATTGTATTTAATGTTTAAGAACTTAAAGACTTTCAAGATTATTCTACTGGTCAGTTTCAGTGAGCTGAATAACATTTATCACTTACTGAGATCATGCATAAATAAAATGGTAAAGTGGGGGTGATACACCAGTTAATGAGTGTTTTATTTTGTCTATGGTAGCTCTTGGGAGCTCTGGCAGCATAGTGCCTAAGGCACTTGACTGCTAACCAGAAGGCTGGCAGTTCAAACCCACCAGCCACTCCTGGGAAGGAAGGTTGGGCAATGTACTTCCATAAGTGATATTTCCTCGGAAACCCAAGGAGGGGTCGCTGTGAGTCAGGTCTGACTCGATGGCACATAACAACAACAACAACAATGGTAGTTCTTGAGTATGCTTCTTTAACTTTGGCTGCACTCTGGTAGCATAGTGCCTAAGGCATTTGACTACTAACCAAAGGGCTGGCGGTTCAAACTCACCAGCCACTCCTCAGAAGGAAGGTTGGGCAATCTACTTCCGTAGTGATACTGCCTCGGAAACCCAGGGAGGAGTCACTGTGAGTCGGGGCTGACTCAACAGCACATAACAACAACAATAGCACTGAAAAAAATACCTGAAGATTCTTTTTGTTGAAAATCATATTTCATTTCGATGAAAGGATTTTCTTTTTCATTTAATGCCAACAATGTAAATTTTGAAAGCCTTCTATGAAAAGTCCATCTTATGCATACAGTTCAACTAATCAATTATCTGATTAGTAATCTGATTCTAGTCATTTACTGCTTGTGGTGTGAATACCACATGTTGAAGACAGCCTGTGTTTTAATTTTCTTTGTGACTTAACTAGTAGCCAACTGTCACTAAGGATGTGTTATTTTGTCAAAAGTGAGTCAAGAGATAATTGAGCTACATGAAAACATTTTCACCATAATCTGTTCTCCTACACTAGACAGTGAAACAAGCACAAATAGTTAAGCATCACCAAAAATAAATGTGTTATCAGGAGAAAAAGAAAAAGATGATGAAAAGAAAGCTTTTGAATGAATGTGAACATCGTCATGATTATTATATGTTTATATAATACTGTAAAACTAAATGATTGGCATATAGTCCTTGGCATTAAAGAGGTTATGACTGGTAGGAGGTGAAAACGAAGAAAAACAAAATTATAATACAGCATTATAAAAAAACAAAAACAAACAAAAATAGAACAAATAGTTTATAAGGAGTATACATAATACTGTATAAGGAGTTCTGGTGGTGCAATGCCTAAGGCATGTACTGCTGACCACAAGGTTGGTGATTCAAACCTACCAGCCACTCTCCAAAGGAAGACTGGGCAATGTATATCCATAAAGATTTAGTGCCTCGGAAACTCAAAGGGGGTTGCTGTGTGTTGGAATCTACTTGATGGCAGTGAGTTTATTTTTGTTTGTTTTTGGTTTTTTATAATGCTGTATTATAATTTTGTTTTTCTTCTTTTTGGCCTCCTACCAGTCATAACCTCTTTAATGCTAAGGACTATATCCCAATCATATAGTTTTACAAATAGAAATTTGATGAATTTGTATAGATTTAATGAAGGAACAAATGAATGAACAGAAATACTTTATATGTAGGATATTTAAATATTCTGAATTGGTCCTTAATACTGTCAGTTTCAGTTATCACACTGAATCTTTACACTTTATACATTGGCTGTAAAATGCCATATAACTCACCTTTCCACCTTAAATTATCTATACTAGCCATGTGGATAATAGCTTCAAGGGTATGGTGAAGTTTGGAAAGTGAGTCATTGTACAGTGTCATGAAATCTTCAAATGAAAAAGAAATTTTAGTACAAGTAGGTATACCAAAAACCAAACATACTGCTATGCAGTCAATTCTGACTCATAGGGACCAAATAGGACAGTGTAGAACTGCCTCATAGGGTTTCCAAGGCTATAAATCTTTGCGGAAGCAGACTGCCTCATCTTCTCCTGTGACTAATAGGTTCAAACTATCAACCTTTTCATTAGCATATGAGTGCTTTAATCACTGCATCACCAGAGCTCCTACAAATAGGAATAGATATGAGAAATTGCACAGAAAGAACTGTGCAATACAAGGGACTTGTTATTGATTTTACGTGTGGCTCTTAGCTGTAATTGTGTTACATGTTCTTCCCTAAACCAAGCACCAAAAAAAAGTGGGATTACCAAGATTAGCTTAAATCAATCAAAATCCACTTCCCAGGGTGAAGAAGGAATCTATTATACTGAACTGCCTAATATTTTTTGGGGAAAAAAACTATTCTGTTAAATATTAGTAACTATTATTCATTTGGTTGTGTATGGGTAGAAACTCAAAAAACAGTGGCTATTTTATTTTTCTCATGCATCTCATCATTTACTTTTACAAATAGAAATTCTACAAATTTGTATAGATTAAATGAAGGAACAAATGAATGAACAGAAATACTTGATATGTAGAATATTTAAATATTCTGACTTAAATACACTGCCTCAGAGATAGACAGTGTAGCTCTATGGCATCATTATAACCCAAACTTGCCCTGTTTTTCTGTTCAACTGTACTTAATATGAGACTTCTGTTGTCAAGGTAACTGCTAAAGCTCCAACTCTCACTTTCATGTCCCAAATAGGAAAAATGGGAAGAAGGGTGAGCCCCCTTCTTTTTAGGACTTCCTGAAAACCCAAGAAGATAATCCACTTATGTCTTACTGGCCAGAACTTTGTCACATAACAACATCTAGCTATATGGGAAATGTGCCCAGCCAAAAAAAAAAAAAAAAGAGGGTTTTTGCTAAGGAGGATGAGGGAGACTGGGTGTTGTAGCAAACATCTACCAGAGTCTATTATAGATAGCAACAACAAAGGGTAGCATACGCAAAAACATAGAGGGTGAAAGCAAGACATACAGAGAACAAGGAGCTGTCCCCATTCTCTACCATCCAACCTACCTCTATTGCAAGGAATTTTAAACAGGGAAATAGCAAAGGAATAAGAAGGAGAGGCAAAGGACATAATAAATCAGCAAAGTGTTGAGACTGTGTATAGATAATTAGGATCTTGTTTTCCACTGTGTCATTTTTTAGCCTTCTTGGAATATTTTACATATGAAAGGATATTATTTTTCCAAATATGGAAATGTGCAAGTCAAGGTATGAATGATCTTCCTTGCCTAACTGTCTTAATTAACAACAAGGTCACCTTTGGGAAAAGCAAAATAATTGTCTAGAAAGAAAGTATTATTATGAAAAGTATCAGGTCTTCTAGAAGTAGAGGAAAGAGGCAAATGAAGAGCTAATTAGCTACAAAAAGCTGTGAGAAAATTATTGGTAAATTAGAGTTCATGTATATAAAGTCTCCTTATTATAAATGACAACATTTTCTTTATTCTTTTAAAGGTAGCCAACCAAGTTGTTCAAGCTCTGCTCACTCAAAAGGTAAGTCATTTTCTGTCTTTTTTTCTTTTCAAAGTGCTTATTTGAATAGATTTGGACTCACATTGTCAAAGTAGGAAATTGTGATTGATATATGCAATCCTTTTCTATTTATTCACTTAGGTTGAAGCTGTGCATGTTTTAGGTAGCATATAAAGTAACATCAATGACCAACAGAATTATAAAATCCAAAATCTTTGTAAAGTGATAGAAAGCCTGTCAAACATGAAAGACTTCCATGTACCCAGATGTTTAGCAAACCTATCATTTTTATTTCGCAAATGTAAATGTTAAATAAATTGGTGGATTTCTTTGATTCCCACAATACGAATGTCCTCTATGAGCGGCATCAGCAGAAGCCCAGGATTCAACAAGGGAGTTAAGGAAGCCTTAGTTGCTCTTCTGTAGAAGGGGGATAACAGTTCTCACCTCTGGGGGTTGCTGTGGCGATCCCATGAAAGGAAACACGTAGGTCAGTTCCTATAGAAGCCAGTTGGTGGTAAATGTAGAATAAGTGGCAACTACTATAACGTCACAGTGTGACATTTCTGTGCCTACTCCTTTGTTACTTCTCTTTTCTGCCTTTAGACAATATAAAATCATATTGCTGGGACAGAGTGAGTTAATGCAGTCACTGTTTGCCCAGTTTTGGCTGGTTTGATGAGTTTTACTGAACTTTCCCCATCTCTTGCCATGATGTTTCTCAAAGGTGAAAATCTAGTTCCTTCAGACTTTGGTTTTTCTGACTTCTCTTTCTATAACATGGAGGCTTCCTCTCGCAAAGAAACCTTACATCATGCAGTGTTTTCAGGAGGCTGTGGCTAATGAAATTTATGTTCTTTTGATTTTTAAAAAGGGAAAAGTATTTTATTCAGCGTTGACTGCTTCTCATAGATGTATTTAAATATTATTTTTAGTTTTTACTGTAAAAGCATTGTGATAATATTTCTGCTAGATTTTTTCTTCTAGTACTTCTGTCAAAAAGCCATGCCTCGACAACTAATTTTAAGTGCTTCAGGTTTTACACTAAAGTCACATAAATAAAAAGATTTAAGTACACTTGTATAGAGTTAAACTTATGTTCCATTGTGAGTAAAACACTAAAATAGTAATGCCTTAAATACATTGAAATGTTATTTCCTTCTCATATATGAATCCACAGGTAGGCTGTGCAGCTCTGGTATGGAAATCCTGTTCCATAAAGTTCATGGGTCCCAGACTTCTCTCTTGGTGTTCCATGCAGTATGGAATCCAGTTTCAAAGTTACTTCATGGTCCAAACTATCTGTGCCAGTGCCAGCCATCACAACTACATTCCAGCCATCAGGAAAGAAAGAATTTTTTGAAGAAAGTGAAGACTGTAAAGTGCATATATCAATTGTCTTTTAAGGGAGACTTCCAGTAGGTTTCACACCTTCTTACTAATTGCATCTCTTTGGACAGACCTTAGTCACATGTCTACATTTAAGGAAGCTGACAGTGAAGTCATTATGCTTGTACAGAGCTAAAGTTTGAGTGTTATGGAACTATGAAAGAGAGGTAAAAACAGGTATTGGAAGACAATTTACAGTTTCTGCCACAAATTATTTGAATGCCTTTTCTTTTCCAAAGGCTTTACTCTCTCAATTGCTTTTTTCCTGTTAGAAACTATGAAGGAATCAATGCTGCAGCTCTGTGTGTAACTGTTGAAAGACTTTACATGGCAGTTTTATTTTTAATGGTGCCTCAAAAAAAAAAAAAGAAAGAAAAAAGAAAAAAAAAGACAAGGAAGCCGTCTGGTGCAATAAAGAGGAAAATGAGACCCTTCAGGTCAGCCACAAAAAAATAGCACAAATCCAAGTGATAACTAGTAAACAGATAAATCTGCCTTGGTACAGTTAAGCAGTAAGATACAGAAAGACGTACTACTATGAGATAGCATACCTCAGGGGCACGGTGAGGCAAGAAGACATGCAGGGGGTTTTCGGAGATTCCAAAAGAATCATGTTCTGCAGAATTGCTACAAAAAGTCTAAAATTTCTCTTTAATTAAGAACATAATATAAGAAATAAAATTACTCCAAATGCAGAAGAGAAAACAAATTCTGAAGAGGAAATCTAGACTGCACAGTGTGAAAACAGCACTCTCAGGTGATTTATCCAAGTTACACATACACGTACACACACACATTCCTTGAGGTGAAATTATAGGCATGACCATAAAGGTTTAGAATCTATCATTTGTCATGACTCAAAGGCAAATTTGTTGTGGATTCAGCGCTTCACTGGGCAACCAAAAAACATTTTTCATGACAAAGCATGAATTGTAACAGAGTGTATTTCTTTTCTCAATACTGACAGAAAAAAATAAAAATGTTTTCATTTCCATAAATCTGTCTGTTGTTAAATGTACATATACTGCCCTAGTCAGGTAACTGAGTTTATCTCAAAAACGTGTGGATTCCCTTAAGAGCAGCCTGCCCCCTTTTACATCAGTAAGGCTAAAGTGACAACATTAAACCCAGATCACTTGTATTTATGCCTCCAAATCATGGAGTCAAGTTTAAAAGCAAAGTGAAATTGATAGTCCAGGCTAAGCTTATATCTTTACCTGAAACATACTTTATCTTCATTAAGTCAATTACACTCACTGGAAATGTAACTCTTCTTATTTTGTTTTGCTTTTTAACTTTTTATTGTGGTTTGTGTGAAAGTTTGCAGAGCACGTTAGTTTTCCATTCAACAATTCATACACATTTCCTTTCATGACATTGATTTGCAGCCCCTACAATGTGACAGCACTCTTCCTCCTTTCTCCCTGTGTTTCCTGTATCCATTCGTCCTTTCCTATCCCTTTCTGGCCTCTGAACTTTATCCCTGGACAAATACTGACCACACCTTTTGATCTCATATAGTTGATTGTTCTAAAGAATGCATACCTCCCTGGTGTTATTATTCACCTTACAGGCTTGTCTATTGTTTGGTTGGAAGTTGAGCCATGGGAGTGAGTTCTGTTCCAAGCTTAAAGAGTGACTAAACATCACAGTTTCGGTGGTCCCACCAGTCTCTATTAGACAATAAGCTTGGCCTTTTCTGTAATTCTGAATTTCCTTGCACATTTTCTCCCACTCTATCTAGGACCTTCTATTGTGTAATTGACCTAATGAAGATAAAACATGGATATATTTATAGTGCATAAATAAATCCATTTCAAAGCAGTTGGTATGGTAGCCAGGCACTATCTAGTTCTTCTGGTCTCAGGGTAGTGCAGGATGAAGTTTGTGTGGTCTATTAGTCCTTTGAACTGTTTGTTTCCATGGATCTTTGATTTTCTTCATTCTTCCCTTGCTTTGAGCAGCGAAAGACCAATAGTTTCACCTTAGATAGCCTCTCTGTAGCTTTTAAGACCCCAGTCACTACTCACCACCATAGAATGTAGAACATCTTCTTTGTAACTATGTTATGTCAGTTGATTTAGCCATCTCCCAACACCGTGGTCGTAAACCCTGTGACTTACTACCTTAAGGTGTTTGGTTATGGCTAAGAAGTTGTCATAACTTTTCCTCTTGATTGATCTACTATATACATGGATATATTTATAGTACATTAAAATGCATGTATAGAAATACCCTCTGCTAACCTATGGTTGTAGGTATAGTCCTGTTCACCTATTCATATCTGTTCAGTTTGCTGTCTACATATGTATCCACTCGTAGATTATTGTTTGCTATTACTGACACTGCAGGATTATATATGTAATAGTATTTACCTTTACTGTCTGTAACTCCTGTACACCTCTCCATGTCTTCCTTTGCCTTAGTGATATTGTGCTGATCATTCCTTGTATTGCCTTTCCTTTCATCCAAATTAACACACATCTAGTTAGGAGCTCTGGTAGCATAGTGCCTAAGGCACTTGACTGCTAACCAGAAGACTGGCTCTTCAAACCCACCAGCCACTCCTTGGAAGGAAGGTTGGGCAATCCTACTTCCATAGTGATACTGCCTCAGAAACCCAAGGAGGGGTCGCTATGAGTCGGGGCCGACTCGACGGCATATAACAACAACAACAACAATTATCTAGTTAGTGATTTTTCCCCTCCCCTTTTCTCTCATCTTTGGTATCCACAGAATGTTTCTTTCTGTGTGTAAACCTTTCCTTGAATTTTTGTAATAGTGGGCTCATCCATGGAATAAGACTGATGTATGGTATAGTCCAACCACACACCTACTATAATAGAAGCAAAAAAGAAATGTTGTAGCTGTTGCTTAAAGAATTCCAAATTCCCACATGTTTCCCTTAAAGCAGGAGTGGCAACCACAACATTTGTGCCCACTTCTCTAGCAATGGTCTGTGTGGATCTGGTTCTCTGAAAAAGTCTTGTTTGTATTTATTATGCATGTGCAAGGAGTCAGACCCAATGTTTAGCACTTTAAATACATTAACTCATTTTGTTCTCAGTGCATGGGACCAAGAAAATTAGAAATAAGTAATTTGTGCATAGTTACAATTGCTAAGAAGCTCAGACTTTAACTTAGGGTTATTGCCCTGCAAACCCAATGCTCTTACCTACTATACCATTTTGCATCCATAATCCTATTCACTTGCTTACTGGTTTCCCCAACATAGTTCAGCAGAACAGAAAGATGCCATGAAAATCAAGAAATAAAATCCAATTGTTAGACATCATCTCAGGGGATAAAACAAAAGGTCAGGGTACCCAATGGAATTCTTAAAACTTCTGGAAGAATTGCCATTCCTTTCTAGCAGGAAGAGCATCTAGGCTCTGACAAGTATGGAGTCAAAACAAACTGTGAATTTGGAGTCAAGCTTTCTCAGAATCAATCTTATTTTGGACCATAGAACTTCACAATTGCCAGGAACCATAAACCAAACCAAACCAAACTCACTGCCATCGAGTCAATTCCAACTCATAGCAACCTCTCCTTGGGTTTCTGAGTCAGTGTCTCTACGGAAGTATATTGTCCAGTCTTCCTTCCGAGGAGTGGCTGATGGGTTTGAACTG